GCTGCCCACCACCATATGGAAGGAACTTGAAAATGTTTAAAAAACTTCCGGAAACTACCACTTAAATGAAAACTATTATATGGAGACTATACTAAAATATGAATCTGCTTACGAAATTTTTTTGTCATAGGCTGTAGTAACCATTACGAACTTCAAATACGAAATTTGAAGGATATGCGTCACAGTTGATACAAATTTACGCAAATGTGTATTATGTCTACAGGAATTTTGGTTTTTGAAATGGGCGATGTAGGTCCACGTCTTCGTGTAGCCCCCATATAACGGTACCTCCCGATATTCGGTATTTTGATGATATTAGCGACATTATTCACCAGATTTTTTTTCAAATTTGGTATTTGATGGTCGTAATGGGTACTACAGCCTATGACAGAAAATTGTCTGTGCAGGTCCACGTTTTATAACTCCCAAGGTACCTCCCTATATTCGGTATTTTGATGATTTTAGCTACATTATTAACAGATTTTTTTTCAAGTTTCGCATTTGAATATTGTAATAGCTTATGACAAAAGTTGCCACGTCCTCGTATAGACCCTAATATACGGCTACATTCAGTATTTATAAGATTTCCACAGAATTTCTTACGGATTTTATTGTTTTTGAAAATTACCAAATTTGTTTCAAATGGTGGATGGTATTCTAAGTTCGGCCCGGCCGAGGCTAAATTTATCCAAATACCGGATATGAGAAGATACAATTATATGAGAACCATACGAAAACGTGGTTCTGTATAGACAATATTACGCCACATGAGGTAGAACCAATTAAAAACTTTTAATTGCAAATTTTAAACAATTCCGCTAGAGAGTGGCTAAAATCATAACAAATACCCAATAGGGGAAGGCACAATTACATATGGGCTATTCCAAAACGTTGAACGATATGGCTCATCTTCAATCTTAATCTGCTTGCAGACAAAAGATAGCTTTGTACAACATCTTGGCTTCCTATCACATGCCGTTTAGACTCTAGCGCGATTACAACAGACGGACGGGTATTGGTAAATCGACTTCGAGTTTAACGCTGATCAAGAAAATATATATACTTTGTTGGGTCTAAAATGATTTTTTCGATGAGTTACAAACAGAATGACAAACTCCATATTATTTATGGTGAAGGGTATAAAATTAACTACGGTAAAACAAAATCCCCTTGGTATTCTAAATTAAATGATATACATTATCAGTCTTGGCTTTATAGTTATCATTATGAGGTCATAAGCAGTTCTCTCTAATTGTATTTGGTATATTCGGTATTTTAATGATTTCGGAGAATAATATAGCTAATTCTCCGATTTTTTTTCAAGTTTCGCATTTGAATATTGTAATGGCTCATGACAAAGCCATTACATAGAAGTAAAGGCCCTAATATAACGGCTTCATTCGGTATTTTTATACTCTCCACCATACATAGATGGAGGGTATATTAAGTTCGTCATTCCGTTTGTAACTCATCGAAATAATCATTTTACCCCCAACAAAATATATATATTCTTGATCAGTGTAAAATTCTAGGACGATTTAACCATGTTCATCCGTCTGTTGTAATCACGCTACAGTCAAAACGAATTAAGATCGAAAGCTAAAATTTTGACCAGATCTCTCTTTTGTCTGCAGGCAGGTCAAGTTCGAAGATGGGCTATATCGGTCCACGATATCGTATAGCACCCATATAACGGTACCCCCCGATATCCGGTATTTTGACGATTTCAGCCACATTTTCTAATGGAATAGTCTGAAAATGCACACGAGGAGTTCTTTGTGAGCACATACCCCCTGAAAGGGAATTGCCTCTATAGGTCCAGAATATCGTATAAACCCCATATAACGGTACCCTCCGATATTTGGTATTTTGATGAGTTAGCTACATTTTTAAACGGAATTGTCTGAAATTTTACACAAGGAGTTCTTTGTGAGTATTTTACCCCTGACATAGATTTGTCTATATAGGTCCACAATATCGTGGATGGATTTTATTATTATTATTATTCTTTTTTTTTTTGAAATTGTCCTAATTCGTTCCAAATGGTGGAGGGACCGGCCGAACTTACTGCTTTTTTACTTGTTAGGATTTTAACAAAATTTTTTTAACTTGTTTTATTATAGAACAATTTTCAACTGACAAATATCCAGTTGTTGTTTTTATTTTTTACATTTTAGACTTGAGTGACTTCAATATTTTCACTAATTTTTTTTATTTTCCACTACATAGTTGGGCAATGTTAATGTAAACTGTCTGTCTTGTTTTCAATTGATAAATAATACAAATCATAAAAATATTCAATATTTTGTATTTTGAAAGAACTGAGTTATTGATTGAGAACGACGTATATTCAAGCACTTTTTCCGAAGACAACAGATTAGACAACTTTTTAATCTATAATTTTATTTGTCGTGAAAATCTGTGTGCTGAGTAAATTTAAACTTAAAGGAGTGGGATCTGTGCAAAGCAATGGCATGAGTAAATTATTGAACAAATTCGTTATACCTTAGTTTTCTTTGGCGCAACTCGCATCGGCCAATAAATCAACCCGTCTACACGGGGTTGTGTTAATTGCTATTTGCGTAACAATTTGATCAGCGTACAATTCAATAGTCTGCTTTACATAGACACCTTAATTACCCATCACAAGAATATTCGTCATCTGATTACGAACAAATGTTTGGTGTAAATAAGGCTTAAGTCGATGCATCTTTGCCTGTTTTGCCCGTCTGCTGAACTCGAAGTAGAGACAATATTATTTTATGTAGATCTATAACATTTGAAAAAAAAAATATAAATTATGTCTTAGATATAGACATATTTTATATAGACTATTTGGAACCGTCAGATTTGAAGGGTTTTAAGTATTTTGGATATTTTTCAAATCAGATAAGTCTTAAAGGTACAAACATGGCACAATAACATAAGGTAGAACATAGCTGATTTCTAAATACATTTTTATACCCTCCACCATACATAGTATGGAGGGTATATTAAGTTCGTCATTCCGTTTTTAACTCATCGAAATAATAATTTTAGACCCCCATATTCGATATTTTGGTGATTTCAGCCACATTTTCCAATGGAATTGTCTAAAATTCTACACAAGAAGTTCTTTGTGTGTACTTTACCCCCTGAAAGAGAATTGTCCATATAGGTCCACGATATCGTATATCCACCATATAACGGTACCTCCCGATCTTCGGTATTTTGATGATTTTAGCCACATTTTTCAATGGAATTGTTTGAAATTCTACACAAGAAGTTTTTGTGAATACTTTACTCCCTGAAATAGAATTGACTATATTGGTCCATAATATTGTATATCCCCCACAATCCGACATTTGGTATTTTGATGATTTCAGCCAAATTTTTCAAAGGAATCGTCTTAAAATCCACAAAAGGATTTTCTTGTCTGTACTTTATTTCCTAGAAGAGAATTGTGTGTATAGGTCCACAAGATCGTATAGCCCCAAATAACGTTACCCCGATATTCGGTATTTTGATGATTTCAGAATGGAATTGTCTTGGAATCCACACAAGGGGTTGCTTCTAAGTACTTTACCCCATTGAAGAGAATTGTCTACATAGTTCCACGTTTTAGTATAGCGCTATATATTGGTATCCCCAGATATTCGGTATTTTCATGATTTTTGCGACATTATTCACCAGAATTGTTTGAAGTTCGGAACCGTTACTACAGCCTATAACAAAAATTATTTATGCAGGACCACGTCGATGTATAGCCGCCATATAACGGGTTTCATTTGAGCTGTATTTTTCGACGGAATTTTTTGAAATGTTTCAAGTTTCTTCCAAATGATGGAGGGTATAAGAAGTTCGGCCTGGCCGAACTTAATTGCATTTTACTTGTTTTCTTTTGATGTTCCTATTATTATTTCAAAAACATATACATTGTTTGTATATGTATGTGTGTATCTAAACAATTTAAAACTTTTTCAAATTCATTTACCAAAATAGTCATATTTTAGCCGCTAACCGGCAAAAGATTAATCACATTTAGGATAAAACAATATTGTTATACGCTCCTCCTTGAAAAGGAGGGTATATTAACTTTGTCATTCCGTTTGTAACATCTCTAAATATTGGTCGTAGACAACCATAAACGATTTAACAATGTTCGTCTGTCTGTTGAAATCATGATACAGTCCACATTATTTGACGCATAGCTTCGACAATTTGTATTGGGTCTAGGATGGTTGGTATTGAAATGGTATAGTCGCCATATAACGGTACCTCCCGATATAGGGTATTTTTATGATTTTCGGCACTTTTTTCTACGGATTTGTCTACAAATTGGTATATGCAGGTCATAATGGGTTTTAGCTCCAGTTGCGGAATATTGTATGTATAGGTTAACGTTTTCATGAACGTTGTAAAATAGGCTTCTCATTGAATTTATATTCGACCTTTAGACATTTTGCAATGTGGGTCAATATTTTGACACATCTACCGATTTGTAGATAATTTTGGTATTTGGTATTTTTCTGCTCCTCATAACAAAATATAAATAAAATAGGTTGGTTATATAACCCGAGATCATTCACAATTTCTTATCGTCAAAAGAAATTTATTTGAAATTCATATAACGAACCAGAAGAGTTCCATATCTCTTTTCGAATTATCGGAAAAAGCTGTCAATGGTAACATCCGTTCAAACATCACGGTCAAATTTAGTCAATAAGCCACGTTTTTATTATCTTTTAATTTTGAGATGACAAAAGATTGTCGATTAGCTTTTTGTTGCGCTTAAACTTTAACTTTGCCAATTAACAATGCGAGTAATTGAGAACACGAAACAATGCCGTTATCAATTAGAACCAAAAAAAAAAAAAAAAAAACTCTAAATGAAAAGCGAAATATTAATGCAATGTGATAAGTTTCCAAAATGAACGTCATAATCGGCGATCATTAAAGCGTTTTGCCCAAAAGTGGAGTACGTGTACATTGTATAAATACTTTCGATTCGATTCAAAATTTGTATCACTTCACAATTAACATTCAACAAATTAACATTTATTTTGAATAAATTGGAGAACTATCTATCGGGCGTTGATTCAAATTCGAGAAGAAGAAAAACAATGGCTAAAATATTTCTAATTGTCGCCTTAGCTGTACTTTCCATCTTGGCAGCTACAACAGTTGTAAAAGCTGATTTAGACAGAAATCAGGCTATGGCTGTCCTCAAAGCGAAAGCCGATGAATGCAAAAAGGAAGTGAATGCCAAGGATTGTAAGTGGAGATAGCTTTAAGTTCAAGTTAAAAAAAAAACAAAAACAAGTAAAAAAGAAGCTAAGTTCGGCCGGGCCAGACTTTTAATACCCTCCACCATTTTGGAAGATCTTGAAAATTTTAACAAAAGCCGTCGAAAATACTATTTAAATGAAAACCGTTATATGGGGGTTATACGAAGATGTGAACCTGCATAATTTTGTGTCGTAGGCTGTAGTACCAAAAACCGAATAAAGGGATTGTCCGTTATATGGGGGATATACAATACAGGGTGAGACAAAAAAAACTGCAACAAAGTCAAACGCCATAATTTTTACATTTTTTTAAATGCTATTGAATGGAAGCAAAAAATGTCGGAAATAGCATCAAATTTTAGATTAACTTTAGATTTGTACGAATTGGTCACCTTTGGCACGAATTATGGCCTTCAAACGGCCAATGAAACCGTCACACGCTGTCCGAATGTTGCTCTGCGGTTATTTGGCCCAATCCTGGCGAAGCGCTTGCTTGATGTGATCGACACTTTGGTATATTTTAGTGCCAACCTTGCTTTCCAAAATACTCCAGACACAATAGCCCAACAGATTGGTATCCGGAGATTTTGGTGGTCATTGTGCGCTGGAAATTAAGCGAGGAACCTCATTTTCTAATCATTCCGATGGTGCTGAGTCCTGTTGGAATGTCCAAGGTCTGCGACCAAAATGTTTGCGTGCCCAAGTCTTTAATACACCCTCCAGAATATTTTCGTGATAATATTCGTCATTTATTGTGATGCCATGGTCAATTAATACGAGCGAAGAACGACCATCGGTTGTTATGGCGGCCCACACCATCACAATGGCCGGCGCTTGAGTTCTGGTGGCCAACCGAAGGTGAACATTTTCAGCTGACCTCTTTTTGCAAATAATCACGATCGTTTTGTTTGTTTACAAACTGCTGGACAACGAATGTTTTCTCATCGGAGAAAACCAAATTCGGTAGTTCACCATTTTCGGCCAAGCGAAGCGACTCTTTAACTCTTTTGAGTCTATTTCTTTATGTTGCGGTGTAAGTTCTTGCACTTTTTGGAATTTCAATGGCTTTACTCCGAGCTCATTTTTCAATATTTGCCGAATGGAATATTGCGATACGTTCAGCGCACGAGCCATTTTTCGGCCACTGCGATGCGGGCTTCGATCATGTCGCTTCTTTACATTTCGAACCATTTCTGCTGATGTTGCTGTTTTCTTCCGTCCAGTATCACGGCAACGAGCGATGGTACGAGACACAAAAGATTTATTCACATTTAAATGCTGGAGGGCTCTAACGATAGCCACTTGTGGTTTTCCAGCCAAATATAAAGAAATCACACTATCACGCTTGAATTCCATCACGAATAACTTTTTTTCTGGAAAATTCTCACCAAATGCTTTTGTAAGCTTGTATACAATATAATGAGCTGTCACTGGAATAATTTTAACAGCTCTCGGACGAGTGGCTTAGAAATGACAGCAGTCTGAAGTTGGTTGCAGTTTTTTCATCTCACCCTGTAGATAAAAGGCCTACTGGGCCTCAATTCTTGTTCTATGAAAATATGAAATGAAAATTTTTATAAAAGAAAGAAATGTCAAATGAAAAATTTTATAAAAGATTTTTTTTTCATTTCTTATTTTCATAGAACAAGAATTGAGGCCCAGGGCCTTAATGAAATGAAAACTTTTATAAGAGAAAGAAATGTCAAATGAAAAATTTTATAAAGGGAATATTTTTCATTCCATATTTTCCTAGATAAAGAATCCAGCTCCTGGTCTTATATACATACATATTTTTTATATCTTACAGCTGATGTCGAGGAGTTAGCCACAAGAAACCCAGCATCCACCAAAGAGGGCAAATGTCTAAGAGCTTGTCTAATGAAGAAGTTTGATGTGGTATGTATGGATCAGATTATTTCCTAAAAAGTTATAATTATAAAGTTTTCTTTAACAACAAATAGATGGACGAAAATGGAAAGTTTGTTGCCGATGTTGCTGAAAAGCATGCCGCCAAAATTACCAATGGCTCAGCCGATGCAATGAAAATATCTCGTGAAATTATTGATGCTTGTGCCAATATTGAGGTGTCGTCGGATCACTGTGAAGCAGCAGAGGCTTATGGAAAATGTTTCAAGGATCAAGCAGCAGCCCATGGCATTAATCACGATTATGAGTTTTAAGAAGCGGATGTGAATTGTTGCAACTACAACTACATGCTATATCTATAGAGCCCGAATATATATATTCAACCAGTTTAATAATAATAATAAATATTATTAAAAACACATGTATATAAAACTGTAAATACCTAGATGATATTCGGTTCTTGGCAACTCCAAACCAATTGGAAATACCAGTTATTCTGGAAATAATAGCTTTGTTACATACATTGCAAGAGTCTAGTTCTTTCACCGTTCTACCAAATTTTTGCTACACCTTTTTCAAATTTTTATACCCTACACCACAAGGTGGTCAGGGTATTATGTCTTTGTGCATTTGTTTGTAACAGGCAGAAGGAAACGAGATAGACCCATAGTTCCTTTTGATGATCTGCATAGAATCACATTCTGAGTCGATTTATATATGTCCGTCCGTCCGTCTGTCCGTCCGTCCGTCTATCCATGTATTTTTGTAAACAAAGTACAGGCCGCATTTATTGCCCCATCCAGATGAAATTTTGCAGAGATCATTTGTTTGGCCCAAGGACGAACCCTATTGAAATTGGTCAAAATTTAGATGTAGCTCCCATATATATCTTCGTCCGATTTGCCTTTTATTGTGCACCAAACGTGTAATATCAGCCCGAATTGTATGGAATTTTGCATATACACCCAAATTAGGCCTGAAAATATCTACGCCAAATTTGATAGAAATCTGTTCAGATATAGCTATAGCTCCCATGTATATTGTTCATCTGATTTGTTATTTTTGTCCACCGCCGCCGTAATATGCACTCTGTTACAACAATATTTGGGGAAATATATCAAATACAGCTCAGAAATACATTTGCTAAATTTTATCGAGATCGGTTCAGATTTGGATATAGCTCCCATATATAACTTCGTCCGATTTGCCTTTTATTGTGCACCAAACGTCTAATATTTGTCCAAATGGGATGGAATTTGGCACTTACCACCGATTTGAGTCTTGAAGCTAGTATGTCAAATTTGGTGAAGATCGGTTCAGATATAGCTATAGCTTCAATATATACTGTTCATCCGATTTGTTATATTTGTTACCCACAGCCGTAATATGCACTCCGTAACAACGATATTCAGGGAAATATATCAAATACAGCTCAGAAATATCTTTGCCAAATTTTATCGAGATCAATTCCGATTTGGATATAGCTCCCATATATATCTTTATCCGATTTCAAATTAATTGTGCACCAAATGGGCAATACAATTCAGAATTTAAAAGATACAAATGCTTCGGCATATTTAGTCCTTTGAACTTTAAACTATAATTGAATTGAATATATATGATTGAATTCTCTCATAAAAACTTTTAATTGTTATGTGGAGCTCTACTAAATTAGCAAAGTGGTGTAGGGTATCATAAAGTCGGCCCCACCCGTCTTTAAGACTTTCTTTACTGTTTTTTTTTTGAAAATTTGCAAATTCCTTCCATATGGTGGAGGGTAATCCACGTGACTTAAAGTGCAATTTGGTTTAAAATAGTTTTGCTTTGGCACTTTTTGTCTAAAATGAAGATTAATTTACCTTCATACATTATCTGGCATAAACTCACATGAACAATAGCTATGACCCAAATTTTCTGAAAACAGAAAACAAGTTAAAAAGTATCAATCGATTCTGCCGACAGACTAATATCCTTAGTCATTGTTCGATTATTTAAATATCTTTTGACTTCTGATTATTCAAACTGTTGTCTATTTCGTATCGGACCTAAATAAATACGATATAAATATGGGGAAACTTGGAAACATGTTAGAAACTTCCTCGCTGACTTGTTAATATTTAAGAATTGCAAAAAAGAGTGTGAATGAAAGCACGATAAGTGGAGATATTTTTAAGTTTGAGTTATATCATAGCACAAGTTAGATGTTAGAAGAACTCATGGGCCACTATGAGAGAGATAAACAGGTTCCTCCCCCACATTCTCCTCGTTTCTAAAATAGAAGTAAGAGCGAATGGCGCAAGCGTTTTTGACAGTTGAGTTGAGGTTTTGCAATTTTATACTGGGAGCAATTTTCTAGTTAAATTTTATGATTTTTCATCAGTTCTCTATTCCAGAACTGCAAGAATCTAATTTTTATTTTTTATTTTTATACCCTACACCACATAGTGGTAAGGGTATTACGTCTCTGTGCGGTTTTTTGCAAAAGGAAGAAGGAAGCGAGATAGGTCCATAGTTACTTTTGAGGATCTTCATAGAATCACTTTCTGAGTCGATATAAGCATGTCAGTCCGTCCGTCCATGTATTCTTGCGAAGAAAATGCAGATCGCACTTATTATTCGATTGAGATGAAATTTTGGCAACAATATTTGTTTGGCCCAAGGACGAACCCTATTGAAATTATTGATAATCGGATCAGATTTAGATATAGCACCAATTTCGGGTTAATTGTGCACCAAATGGCCAATATTAGCCCAAATGGCCTGAATTTGGGCACATCCAACAAAATTTGGTCTAGAAGCAAGTAAATCAAATTTAGTGAAAATCGGTTCAGATATAGCTATAGCTCCCATATATATGTTTCATCTGATTTGGTGTTTAAGTCCCACATATGCGTAATATGCACCCCACAACAATGATATTTGGTACCAGATATCATTTACATCCCAGAAATACCTCTGCCAAATTTTATGAACATCGGTTCAGATTTGGATATAGCTCCCATGTATTTCTTCAAACGATTTCGGGTTAATTGTGCACAAAATGGTCACTATCAGTCCAAATTACCCGAATTATGGCACATCCGACCGAATGAAGTCTAGAAGCAAGTGAAACCCGGTTCAGATATATATATATGTTTCATCTCATTTGGTGTTTAAGTCCCTCAAATCTGTAATATCCATTGATATATCGGAAATACCTCTGCCAAATTTTATCGAGATCGGCTACGATTTGGATATAGCTCCTAAATATCCTTTAGCCGATTTCAGGTTTATTGTGGAGTGAATTTCAGGACGTACGTTTTTATTTTGCGGAACTCGTCTCCGATATATATTTTTTAATATATCCCTTCTCATACACTCTATAGCAATGTTATTTGGAATAAAAGATTAAAATGTCTCCGTCAAATGTAGTAAAATCGGTTCAGAATTGGATACGCCTCCCATATATTAGTTCACTCTGAAACCAAACTATAACTGCTCTAAAGCCAAATGTTGATAGGTGGTATGACCTACTTCAATTAAATTCTTTCGTTACGGGAGCTCTTCTAAATGTGCATGGTGCTTTACGGTATTATACAGTCGGTCCCGTTCGACTTTTGAATTTTCCTTACTTGTTTACTATTATAAAAGATTTTTTCTTTGTGATATCGAAAAATACTAGAAAATTCCGCATCTCTTGGTATATTTACAATGTTGGTACAATGTGGTATTGGGTGAACTGGTAGTGGTTGAAATCTAAAAGTTGGTATTAGGGTCGCTGTTCATGTGTAGCCTGTACATAAGGATGTGGTTTCGGAAATGTGTATTTTAATTGTGCGAAGAGTACTAAATGGTATTAAAATAAGCTATCGGGCGAAGGAGCAGAGCTGATATCCTGAATTTTGATATTTATATTACTGATGGTATCTGTGATTGAGTTGTTCGAAAGGTTATAAATTGAACTAAATAAAATGTGAAATTTTATATTGCGATTACTGTTGGTGTCTAGGCTTGAGATATAGAAAGCTTTGCAAATGAGTACTAAAATTATACGAAAAGTTCTAAATGTAACCTTAGCCACATTGTACCAAATATAGTATCATTTAGTACTTTTCGTACAATTATAGTACACATTTCCGAAACCAAGCTACATATGAGCAGAGATTTCCCTATTAGATTTCCAGCACTATATGTTACCCCAATACCAAATGGTACCAAATATAGTACTATTTAATACAAAATTGCCACCGACAAGAACCCCAATACACCCTAAACAAAAACTTTTCCAAATTTAGTACAGTTGGCAAACTACACATCTCAAAAACCACCTGCATATACTAAACTTACTTTGTAATCTTGAAATTTGGTATGAGAATCAAGATTACAAAGTAAGTTTAGTATATGCAGGTGGTTTTAGAGATGTGTAGTTTGCCAACTGTACTAAATTTGAAAAAGTTTTTGTTTAGGGTGTACAGGGTTGCCCATATTCGACGGACCCATGTGGCAATGCCATAACTTTTGACAGAGATGTCACATCGCTTAATGACATACCGCGTTTGAAGCGTCAGTCAAAGCAGATTTTGACCATGAACCAATACACGCCACGCGAGCGCTCTGAAATAGTTGAAATTTACATTCAACAGAAGAAGTCAATTGTGAAAACTCAACGTGCTTTTAAAACATTAAAAAATGTGAGAAGTGCGCCTTCTAAGGGACCGTTTTTACGCCACTGAAAATCCTCAGGAGATTCAAGAAGTGCCTCTTCATGACGAAAAAGTCACAGTTTGGTGCGGTATTCTATTTAAGAAGATTTGTATCATTTTAGAACATTTCGTAACTTTAAAGTTCGAACTTCCAAAAATCCTTTCTGCGCTCCATCTTTGAGTCTCATTCCAATAAGCTCGTTCCGTTTGTTCAATAGAAAGTATTATTGAAGTAGATTTTAGTAACGTTATCACACGTCTACGCACTAAGACAGACCGACTTAAGCTTCAGCCGTTTCGTGTGGGAGGGTTGATTCTCTGTACGTAGGATGAACAAGTATAAATTATGGGATAAAATTGTACTAGGATAACTTAAAACTCCGGTGTTATTTTACGATAATTTAGGCCATTCAAAAAAAATCCACTATGCATTCTCACCTTACACCCTTTCAAGTGCCAAAAAATGTGTAGTATTTTGAGTAAATTAAAAACAGTAAAGAAAGTCCTAAAGTCGGGCGAGGCCGACTTTATGATACCCTACACCACTTTGCTAATTTAGTAGAGCTGCGCATAACAATTAAAAGTTTTTATGGGAGAATTCAATCATACACCCTATGATTATAATTATAATTTAAAGTTCAAAGGACTTAATATGCCGAAGCATTTGTATATTTTAAATTCGGACTTGTATTGTCCATTTGGTGCACCATTAATTTGAAATCGGATA